TGGGAATGCGAATTTTATCGTAAAGTTTCTTGTAAGAAACGAGAAGAAGAATAAGAACATTGTGATGACTGCTGACCTCACGGCAGGGTTGCTTTTTCCATTCGTTACTAGTTAAAGGATGAACTCTTGACAGCGAATCTTCACTGATTTATTCAAAGAAAGGAAATCATAATCAGTCCTGCTGAGTTAGGTTCTTCTGACTTTCTGACATTTATCACCATCGGACTGATCTCCAAGAATGCCTCCTATGGGTCACTAGGGGCATTTTCACTCGATATTGAATCAGTCCAACATTATAGCAACAATTTCTAGGGAATTTTTAACAATCGGTCTGATTTAAGGTCAAGGTTTCATCGTGCATAATATGTCTGGCACTCATATTATGGACGTGAAACTTCCGAACAAAGCTGGCGATACACTCGGCAAAATTGTACATCCTACACAAGTCACACTATTCAAGGTATTTCAGATTCCGAAAGTCCGAAAGAAATATTCATCCGGATTCCAGATTCCAAAGGAATACTTTGAGTTGTATTAAAACTCTTTTGTAAAACCGATTAAGACTTGCAGCTGACAGCAAACAGAGTTCCACAAACAATCGCCAGTCCAAATCGCTCAGCTGTAATCACGCTAACCATCCTGAACTGACACTTTCCTCCGGAATACCTGTGAAAAATTCCATAATCAGTATCGGTGAAAAGTTCGAAACTGTAGGCTTGAAGTAAACAGTTGTTACTGTTTAGTATTTGGCGAACTGTGGTCATCGGGTATGACTTCAGGTTCTGATCGCTAATAAGGCAGCACATGGTGGCAATTATCAGGTCTTCAAGGCGGGTACCGATGACCCAATCATCATGGTTGAAAAAGTACGTTTATACGATATCCACTGCGCTGATCACTTTACGCATTTAACGCCGAAGTTTTCGCTTTGTATTAGGACTTTTGACATATATTTTCCTAAAATTTCTTATTCTATCGGCTGTCTGTAACTGCAATCAAAACAAACATCTTGATTTTTTCAAAAATTCATTTCGGTTGACTGAGATAACAGCTCATTTATGAATATTCTCATGATAATTTTCACCGATTCCATGTCATATTGTCAAAAACCACCCGTCTGACTCAATCGAACACTCTCAATCAAATCAAAACCTCTGTAAATTAATGTTTATTTTCCTTTAAGGTATCGTTATCGTTGTATCCAGTTGCAAAAATGGTTGGACTGTTGGAATGTGAATGCGTTTATTGGTTTAGAAGGCCCGATCGAACGATTTTAGGCTATGTTAGGCCGAAAGTTGTACTCAACGGTAGGACAGT